CTGCATGCATACTGGCATACAGAAACAGATGGAGGCTTTCAGAGGTAACTTTCAATGTGGCAAAATATATATGCAGTTAGGTGGACTAGTTGGTGTTCAGGGTGCGCTGGGTTAAAGTGATGGCACAGAACAGCTTTCAAAACCAAACTGTTAAATTAAGATTGCAGTAGGTAAGATATTAATTTCATAACACCTTTGCATTAGTTATGCCATTTTTAATCTTGAAGAGGTTTTGTTTACCTTAATCAAGAAACTGTTGATTGGTTCTGGTTTGATCAAAATATAATTGAAATGCTGACGTTATTTTGTAAACATTCTTTTGACTTACGTGTATAACTGTATGTTGTGTAAATTAAAGATGGCTTCAATAGAGTCTTCCCAATGGAGAAGCTGAGTTCCTTCAGCCATGAAGAAGTTCAGATGATTCTTTGTGGAAATCAATCACCTTCTTGGGCAGCTGAGGATATCATCAATTACACTGAACCTAAACTGGGATATACACGAGATAGGTACTTACATTCTGAGTGATTTTAAAATAGTAGCTAAAAGATACATTAAGTGATAAAATATCCAGAATGTTCATTAGATAAAGATGCCAAACTGGATGGGATCGGTGGTCACTGAAGAGCAAGTGATTGTCTAAAACTACATGAAGTAACCATGTACGTTACAACAGATATGTTAGAAGGTACTTCATGTTTTTGTGATGAGAGAGGAAAACAAAATTTAAAATACTAAAATGTGAACAACTAGTGGACATGTAATGACAGCTAACTAATACAGGCTATTAAAAATAGCATTTTTAGACTTATGGTTATAACTTCTGTTCAGTTGGGTGTAGTTGTTATTTGTCCCTTATTTCTTTCTCTTCAAGAGTAGTTAAAGAAAATGTACTGTGCAGGGAACAAATATAGTGGTGATTGGCTATCAGGGGTGGTCTCGATGGTTGGGGATGTGTTTGCTACTTACCACGTTTGGTAGCAATAACGTACAAATTACTTCTGGAACTATGTTAGTATAAGCATGCTGAAGGATCCTAATCAGTCTAAGCTGCTATGTGGAGCGATTCTTCTCTTGAACCGTGCCCTATATGCAAAGATGCAGCAGAGATTGCAGTGCCTGATGCCCGAGGACGTGTTTGAGCAGGCTGTGCTTTCTGTCCTCTCCTCCCCCTCCCTTCCCGGCTGGTATGGATGAGGGCAGCTGCAGCTGGAGATCTATTGCTGTCTGTTACATTTTTTTACATGAGGGTCCTTAACAGGATAGAAAAGAAAGCGTATTTAAATTGAAGTGGCTTTATACTGCAGAAGTGGTACAGAAAAAGTTTTAAGATACAGTCAGTTGGATTCTTCTCATAGAATAGGTTTGAGCTCTGTCTACTTCTCTACCCATTCATACGTAAGATACCCAAATAATGCTCCAAGATAAGTATAGAGAAAAGTTCTTATTTACCTACATTTTTCTGTGTAATACTCACAGGGAGACTAAAGAAGTATTTATATGGGGTTTATGTTTTATTCTTAATTCAATACTGAACATGCCCTTACGGTGACCGCTTAGACGTGACTGAAGATCATAATTGTACTGTCTCAAGAGAAATTAAAAAAACCACACTCTTGTTGTGTTATCATAACGAATTATTTTAATTTATTTTAAGCCCTGGATTCCTTCGCTTTGTGAGAGTCTTGTGTGGTATGTCTTCAGATGAAAGGAAGGCTTTTCTGCAGTTCACCACTGGTTGTTCAACACTCCCACCAGGAGGACTGGCAAACCTACACCCCCGGCTCACTGTTGTACGCAAGGTATGGCTTCTTCAGCTCGCCCTTCAAACCTGCTAATTTGGCTTCTGAATGTAATTGTTGCTACATTAAGAAATAACACTGATTCTGTTTGGTTTGGGTTTTGTTTTTCATTTATGACACTATACTAAGCTTCCAGTACTAACCTGTTCCGGGTCTGTTCTCTGACTTCATATCTGAATAGAAAAGAATTAATGTTCATTTAAGTCAATACATTTGTAAGTTGGTCTGTAGCTTTCCTGATGCTACCGTTTCTTGACAACTGGTGTTACGTATGCAGTAAATGCTGTGAATTAGAGGACCTTACAACTTGTAACTTCTGTATCGAGTGCTGTGAACAACTGCAGTGAAAAATACTCTTTCTTTTCCTCAGGTTGATGCTACAGATGCAAGTTACCCATCTGTGAATACATGTGTGCATTACCTAAAGCTGCCTGAGTATTCTTCTGAGGAGATTATGAGAGAGCGTCTGCTAGCTGCTACCATGGAGAAAGGCTTCCATCTCAACTGAGCCGCTGACCGCAGCATGGGACAGGAGAAAGTGTTTTTTGATACTAGTGAAGCCTCTTGTGTTTGTGTGCAAAAAATATGATCTCCACGCTGTGCTCTGATGAGACTTGCCTTTTTTTTCACCTGTGAGGCTTTAGGAACATGTGGAATAAGTTTGTTAGCTGCTAATGACAAAATAAATCCTTGTAACTACACAGCCAGCAAGAAATTGGCACAGAACACTGTGTGATGCTTCAAGGGCTTGCACAACTGGAAATTAAGGTGGTTCTGTTTGACTGTTCCAAAGAACAGATCATCAGATTTTCAGTGTTCACCGATACAAATTTCTAACAGTGTATTTGTGTAAAGTTTGTCATTTAATACCTTGTACACTACAGTTGCCATCACTGATCCCTGTTTCGCTGGCTTTAAGCTAAACTGGTCAGAAACTTGCTTCCTTAAAACTTAGAGCTAATGGGCATCTCCAGCTTTTTCTTTTTTAATGGTGCCTGCACTATTGGAGTATTTTAGTGGGTTTTTGCATATAATCATGCACAACCTTTTTTTTTTTTTTTTTCCTCTTTCAAGTGGGAATATATTTTGATTTCTCAAATGCCCTGCTATATAAAGATCAAATCCTTAAGTGTGTTTGTGCAGCTCAACAATAAAGCTATTAAAAAACACTGGTTCCTAGTGCAAGGCACACTTAAAGCAAGTTTTACTTTTGGTTGTATTTTCTTTGTATATTATAAACATTTATTTAACTTGTTGCAGTTTGAAGTTTAAAGGAAACACCCAATGTGTAAGCTCAAAAGTAATCATTAAAATGTTTGCAACATATCAAACTGTCTCCTCCGAGTAGTTCATTAATACTACTTATGTTATTCAATCTCTGTACACGTTCTGAATGATGTGCCACGCTTTTTTTCAAGGTTTAGAAGAACTACATGGCAATAATTGATCTCAGAAACTCACCTCTGTGCTCAAATCTTTCAAAATTAGTGCACCTTTTTAAGAACTAGCCTGGCAGTGATAACGCTGCATGTGGTGGGTTTTTGCATGGGTGTGCTTCTGTGGGCCCGTGTCACCTGAGGTTACAGTTCTTTGTTACATTGGAGTAAAACCTGGGTCAGACATTGCAGCTGATTCAGCTGTACTTGCGATGGAATGCCTGTCTGGGTTTTGGTGTGTGCTGAGGGATTTACTGGTGAAAAGTGGCTTACAGTAAGATAATATGTCTTTAAAGACATTTAAGTACTTAATACGAGAGAAGAAGAATTACTATTTTAGTCGAATCTGTGTGGTAAGTTTTGTTCTGTGCCAGTTCTCTTTGGTAATGACCTTTGCTTGGAGCAGTGCTGAGGGAGGGCTTGCCAAAAGATTCTGCCTCCTGCCCATACATCAGGTTCATGCCAGATTTCTTCTCGTAGCATTATTCATAGGGCCTGATGGGCATCGTCTCTGAAAATTTCTCCAATGCAAAATTGACGGGGAATCCCCCCTCCCAGCTCCTGTGACTATTGTGCTTCAACAAAACAGTTGCATAAAGCTTGCGTATCTGCTGCAGATCCAGCATTTTGCTGAACGTGTTGTTACTTTAAAGCTATGTGGACTGTTCTCCCACGCAACGCTTCCCTCGCTGCTCCTTAGACCCTGGTTTCTAGGTGCAACGTAGATACGACTGTTAGGTGCTTTCACACACCGTGTGTGCTCTTCCAGTGTCAAGTTATGCTTCATGGTGTAAAGGTTATGAAGGAGCAGCCAGAGACCTTCATTCTGGAAAGGTAAGTGACAGTAAGCTCAGATTGCAAACTCTTCCGTGACTTACAGCATACTGTACAGGTATGAGTCAGCATGTTGCATGCCTTGAGAATACAAGTTAGCGTAGCTATGTCCTCCTCCTCGAGAAGGAAGATCTGATTTGGTACCTCGCTGGTACTGAGAAACTTGCGTATCTTTTGTAAATGCTTTAATCGTGATGCATGGATAGAATATACAAGAGAAGAAAAATACACTGGTGTGCCAAAATAGAAAAGATTTTGTGTGATCTATGAAGCCAACATGATAAAAGATGATCAAACTTTTAATTATCTATCTTTTATTAATGTTATAATATTTAAGCGCCAAATACTTCTGGTTACAACTGACACAGTATGCAGGAATACCAAATGTATACTTCTGTCAGTTACATTTCTTTTGTAACCATGACTTACATGGAAAAGGGAGTGAAACCAGCTTTTTGATGAAGGATGAATCTAGTTTAAAAATAGTCATGAAGGTTACAGAACTTAACAGTACATTTATATAGAAATAAAAAAATCAGGTTAGTGCTTAAAGGAAGCACTGAAACTGTCTGAATTTATATTTCCGTATTTTCTGTCTTCTAGGTCTGGCACAAAGCTACGGAATTCAAAGTGATGCCCAGATGGTCATGTGTAAGTTCCCATTACTTTATCCTCAGTCAGATTTAAAAAATGTTGACTGTTCTTGAAAGGTTGCTGCTGCATCAGTAGAGCTGTCTCTGAAACAGAAGGTTCCACTTTATGTTCAGCTGTATCTTCCGTTGGTACATAGGGTATAGGAGAAACAGGAAATATTTTCCCACTACTCTGAATATTGCATGAGTTGATCTTACAACATCTGAAAACTGCTGTTGGTACGCTCCTGATGGTTTCACCATCTGTAAAACGCTGTGGTCAGTTGTACACCTTGCTAGCTTTCTGCCACTTTGTCAAGCACAAACAGAGGGGCGAGAATTCTGTTCCTGTTTGTTTCCACGATGCAGCCGTTCAGCACCATTTCATCCAAAATGATGTGCACTCTGTCCAAATTGAACATGATCTAGAAATGTTTCAAGTTAAGTATATTTTGAACAACACGAAGATAATTCAGAGAAAATCTTAGGCACCTTAGTCTTTGATTAAAGTTTACCAAAACAGTTATTTCTTTATGAAAATTAACAGCCAGATAAATGAGAATAAATTGATCTAGGGCAACAGTTCAACTGATGCTTTTTTCCTGGCCACAGATAAGTCAAAAGTTTGTAGCAGAGAAGTTAAACCACCAACAGGATCCCATCTTGGAAGATTACCACATAGTAGTAAAAGAAAGGTCAACTTAAACTTAGATATAGGTGGTTAATTTTACCATGTATAGCTTGAATATAAAATGTTATCAAAGGATAGCCACCTTGTATGTGAACATGCAGAAATTCTGCACTTCTTCTTAGCAAAGTAATTGTCAATCAGATTCTTAAAATTTGATTCTCAAATATAATTTTCCTTACCCTCAGTTACTGATACTATTTATTTGATCTGCTTGCAAATAGCTTCCTAAGGGAATATGCTGATATGTAAAGTTGAGGCACTGATTTAGTAATAAATCTCATAAAGGAGAGTAAAAGTAAATGGTTCATATGTAAAATACTTTCTAAAAGATATTTTCTAATGTTCACTTAAAGGAAAATAATCTGAAGCAATCTGAATTTGTACTGTTCTGATATATGAAATTTGTCCATAACCACATCTGGTTTTCCTTAATGTTATCTAACAGCATCTGTCTCAAAAAAAAAAAAAAAAAAAAAGATGATGGGCCTGACTCCAGCATTAGGCAGTGGGCATTCTTCTGCATACATTAGTGTTTTAGGTATCCACTGAACTGCAAAGGGTTACTTAGTGAAAAAAGATTCTTACGTTGCCATTTATCACCATAACCTGAAACAGAAATAGGCACAGCAAAAACGCCTGCTGGGTACATCTGTGACGCCCAAATGACACGCTGTTCATAGCGAGGTGTGAATAACCGTTCAGCTGCCTTGCTCTCCACCTCCTGCTGGTCTTTAAATGTGTTCTTTCTGCTCAACACATCAGCTTTGCCTTAGTTTTACTCCTTCTAGTTCCTCCCTGTATATTGAGGATTGCTGCAGTGGAGCTAGCAAGATACTTTACGGTAACTTCTAAATGCATCACTTGACACTTTTTCTGCACTTTGATGAGTCTCTTGAGTGCCTTCTCTGCCCATTACGTTATTTTTGATGCCATGGTTTGAGCTCAGGAAGACAGCCTGGTTTTGCTGCAGTCCGTGTATTTCTGTTAGTGGACTTCCAGTTCTAATCAGTGGAGTTGGAAGAGCCAGGTTTTTGAGGGCATCAACGTTTTCCTCTGCTCAGCATGATAAAGCTTTGCTCTCTTTTTTTGAACGTGGCTCTGGCATTTAGGACTGCTCTGTCCCACGAATTGTAGTGAATCCAACCACAGCCGTCTGCCCTGCTGCTCTGCCAAAGGGCAGGAACAGTGGGAGTACTGAACTGTGACAACAGCTGCAGAGCCACGTATTTGTATGTACTTGTTCCTCCTAGGTGGCAAATGCAAGTGGTGGGGAGACCACTTAAACCACCAGAGCTGTAGTGATGCGAGCTCGTGAAAGTGAACAGTCTTGCGTCTGAATTCAAGAAATGGGTTTAAGTTAAGTAATGTTGACCATCCCCATGCCTAGTTTTTTAGGATCTGGCTTTGAGAAGGGAATTCCTTAATCTAAGTTAGGTGCCTTATTTTCTCTGCAATGAGCGGTGAAAGCCAGACCCATCAAACAATTCCCAGGTTCTAAAGAACCAGGGCTGAAGCCAGTACTTGGGAATGCAGAGAGGGATTTTTCTGCACTCCTTTCTCTCGGATTCAGAAGCCCAAGTCATTACTCGAGGTAATGATGGCTGGCTCGGTGTCTTTAAATGTTACTGCAGAAATGCTGCCTGCCTGAAACCTGTGCAGAAGGGAGGCTGGGCCTGTCCTCAGCCTGGGGAAGAATCCCAAGCCCACCTTCCTCTGTGGGCAAGCTTAGCTGAGCTGGTAGCAGCTGCACCTGCTGCCTTCTACTTCAGGTTGTCCTACTGTCTGTAAAAGTTCTTCAGTGGGATGGTCCAGCCTGGCCATGAGAGAAGCTTATGTTTTTGTCCCTGTCTTGGTGATTGCTTCTGCTGTGTATGTTGAAGTAAGAAGAAGGGCACAGAGATCTCATATCAGCGTTGTATGTGACCACCCTTCTAAGAGATGAAAAGTAGAAGCTTGACCTTGTTCAGGCTGAACTGTAGCATGAACCTGTGTGGCCAAGTTGATGAGAGTTCAGCTAGCAGGCAGCAGGCTGCCGCCTTCCTCTGCCATTTCAAATTGCCCTGAGTGCTCTGGGATGAGCTCAGAGCTGCCGCCGTATATTTGTGCAGAAGGGTAAGCAATTGGATCGCTGCTCCAGCAAATGCATTCTGCTTGACCAAGAGAACAGTGGCAGAATTCAGGCCTCCAAATAACTTTACTACTAGTTACTGTTATGTGAGGAAGAGAAACTATAGCTGTCAACAGGATCTTGGGTATGTCTGTGATTCATCACATAGCTTCTAATCTGCTGGCCTAAACTTAATCACCTAATTAAATTCTAAGTTGTATTTAAAATACCAGACTTCTTCCTGAGTCTGACCCTAGGCCTAAATTGTTTCTAAAAATCAGACTCGTGCCTTTCAATACTGAGGAGCAGTACTGTCCTTAAAACTTCAACAGTCTCAGTTTCTGTGGTTTGAGACAAAGGCAGATGTTTTACTTTTCTTGGCAGATTAAAGACTTGACACAAATTTCTTCCTATGGTATGCTTTTCAAGTAAATCAGTCTTTACACAAATATTTTAATCTGAAAAGTTAAGATTTCTTTATTCCAGTAATGTGACACTCTTTAGGAAGACAGCTCTTCTGGTGCTGCTTAGTTCACCCCTGGCACTGCTCTACACAGCGCAGGAGGCTCTGTTAACGAACTTCGATAACATTCCATTCAGGTTTCAACAAGTGATAAAGTCAACTCCTCCTGTCTTTTAAATTTTACACTCTACCACTGATTCACAGTTCCCACAGTGGAGCGAGAGCTCCCACCTCTCCAGGCCTTCCTCTTCCTTGGAGAGTCCCAGGGATCTGCAACCCAGAAGACTGGATCAACCAGGATCAGTGATGATGCAGCAGCTTGCCACTCCCACCTGATTTTTCTGCATGACCTTGTTTCAGAAAACATTTAAAACACACTTAGCACTGCTGCATTTCCTAAAGAGCTGATACCATGTCAAAGGAAGACTGAACTCACCCCATAAGTCTGTTGCAGCTGTTCCACTCAAACTCAGTATGGTTAAATGAGACATCAATTCCTCTGCAGGGCTATTCCAAAACTGGCCTACTCCATTCCAGAACATAGTGGTATGATTTCTGTCCATCTGTAACCTGTTAATCTCACACTTGTCACTCCAGAACCTGTGATTTCACCTGCAGTTTGAATGGTGATGATAATACCATTCTGGAAAAACCTTCTTGATTTTTGAAGGTCCCAAAGCATTCCTCACCCTCTACTCTCAACCTAACATCCCGGCTTCCTTTTTCGGTTCCCATCCCACCTCCCTTTACTGTGCTGTTCTTGGCAAACTGATTGCACAGGGAGCAACCTTGGCTTTATTCCCCTTCCTGTAAGTCTCGTGACTATCCTCTATGATTACATCTCGTCATACACACACTGCTTAGCCATTCACATCCGAGTGCCCTGCCCAGTGAGGGATGTGTATCTCTGATCCTCAGCAAGGCTCATCCTCACCACCTGTCACTTGTTTGGCAAGTGACCCCAAATTTCAGGGTTTAAAGCCCTGAAGTCATAGATCCACACCCAGCTGAAAAGCAGCACAGCAAACCAGTCTGAGCAACTGGCAACAGGAAAAAGGCACATTCCCTGTGTGCGCTGCCATGTGCTCCACCCAGAGCTGTCATTTAAGGTCCTGCTTCCAGTAACAATCCTGGCTGCCTGCAAAAGAGTACTAAGGGACTTTCACTAGACCCGTGCAGAGGGTAACAGGCATTTTTAAACAAGTGTGCAGAAGAAAACATGTATTTCTGTGCATTTGTAGATAAAAGTCTGTAATAACAGTTTTCAGGGCACCCAGACAGGAAATTCTCGTAAGTTTTTGGCCTAGGCAAAAGGTGAGCCCTTACCCTCTTTGGTTAGGGATTTCAGTCAGTGCTGTTGTGGCTGCGTACCTGGCAGGAGAGGTAAATGGCATCTACTACAACTGGTATTTAAATGCTACCTTGGCTTTTGGTAACTTTAGTAACTGCCCTTATTAAAGACATCCGTGGTACTTTCTATTCTCACAAAGGGTTTTTATGGCACTTACATACTAAGTGGAGGTAAATGTGACACAGTCCTGTGTGTCCTTCCCCAAAACGTTATATAGGCAGATAGTTAAGCAGGGGAGAAGGGAAGGAGGTGGGAAAGAAAGGAAAAAGGCACATGTAGAACTTGCATGTGATAACTAACTTCAGATAGAGACATTTTAAGATATCTCAGGCTTTTCCAGGCCAGTAATTAAGGGTGTGTACAGGCTTAAGAGATGATAAAGTGCAGCCAACACCTTGTGAGCAGGTAACACACCCGGGAGCACAAACAAAAGCTTTGTAGATTACAGCAGGGGCACTTATGGGGCAGATGGTTCACTACTGAATATACAGCATTACAAAACTGATTTCCATCCTGGCCCTTCATCTTCAACTAAAGATTAGTTGGGGGTTGGTTCTTTTTTAAATCGAGTCACACATTCTGACTTTATTTTTGCTAACGTTTACTTTAAGTAACTTAGTCTATCTAATGGTAGGTAAATTTTAGGCACTGAAACCCATTTAATGCTTTCTGAGCATGTCTTCCTCAAACGACTGTGCTAACATTAAAATAGGAGACAAATGAATGGTGCCTTCAAGTTCTGTGATATTCTAGGATATTTGCTCCTACATTGAGGTTAATTTTTGCCAAGGTTTGAAGGGGGCTGATCTACCTGATGTAAGTACATGTTCCCTGACATCACAGACCTAGAGAGAAACTTTCACCCTTAATGAATATCAATTTTAAGCTAATCTTTATAGGTTTCCATTTCATCCACTTATTTTTACAGTACAAACTTAAATGTATCCTTATAAATTCTCAGAATAAATTCATCATTCAATTTTCTTACCACTTAAATGCTCTGTAGTCTGAAAGTGTTATTCCATGGGGGACTGAAAAATACAGTTGATTCACAATGAAGTGTTCCCTGTATCAAAGCGTTTTATCTATCCTAGGAGTAGCAGCAGCTAGTTGCAATGGAATGTAATGGTTTTTTTGGATCAAGACAACATTCTTCAAATGCTTGGTCCTAGAGCACCCTGTCTTCCCCCTCCCCTCCCACAAGGGGAACGTAAGTATCTCTTTCTTCCCTAAGTTAATAATGTGTCTTCAAGTAAGCTTTGCTTCACCAGTTCAAGCAATGGAAAAGTCAACTTTTTGGAATTTTAGAAACTCTCGTGCTTACCGGCATATAGTTCCCTACAAAACTGCTGTGGTAACTCTTACGTTTTTATAGTTTCTTTGTCATCATCACACCAAGAAAGCAGCTCCTATGCCATCCCAGCTGGAGTTTTAGACCTACAGAAAATCCCACCCACTTATTTCATACACAGAAGTGAGGCTCACCTAGGCCTATTACCACATCAGGAAGCAACACCCCTAGGACAATTTCAATGCTTGTTCATTAAACTGGCCCAACAACACTCCTTACAGATATTTTAAAAACAAACCAAACAACTTCAGAAATGTTATGACATTCTGTCATAGGTACCCTTAAGTACGTGACTGACTCTCAGAATGAAAGTGGACATCATATAATGGCTAAATGCTTTACAATTCCCACATAAAAGCTTTGTAAAATACAAAGCATCTGGGTGTTGGGACCTAAATGAAAGCTGGAGTCCTGCGTTAGCAGGAGCTGCGCTGCCAGGAGTACTGGGGTAGTGCACTGTGGCTGGGGAAGTTTTAAGAATCTGTGCATTTCAATTGCGTGATCGTTTTAGCCTTTAGATGTAACTGTGTTTTGCTCTGTGCCTGAGTGAAGAGCTTTCACGTGTCATGATCTATTTTTCATGTATCTTTTGATTTCATGTAATTTCCTACTATTTTTTTCATGTTAGTAAACACCAGTTTCTATATAGAATAGCCACTATTACTTTTGAAATAAACTTCCTATGGATCTGTACACAAAAATAATAGCACAGAGACAGGAAATCATGACAGTCTCCTGCCAGATACTCTGTATACAAAGATTCTGTAAATACTACTTGGTGTTCACTGTTACAGCCCTTCAGACAGCACTTCCTCCAGCAGATATTTTGCATCCAAGCTAACTGTACTGAATATAAGAGCTGGCTTAAGACTAGTTGGCACAGGAAAGGGTTTAATCCCAGGTGGGAATGTTATTTTACATGCTATGAAAGGATTATTGCTTGCACTGCATTAACATCTAAGACACTTGTAGTCCAGATCTTATATTGTTCTTCTGGGCCTTCTATTCAAGCTGTTGTCAAAAATAAATACAATCCTGAACAGCCCACTTCTTCATCGTTACACCTCTGCTTTACATTTAATGCTGAGGGTATCTCACTTCATTTCAACTATTTTATGTATCCTCTCAACTTTTTCTTAAACGGCAGAATTATTTTTACATATATAGAAGTAAAATGTTTTATTTTAAAATTGTTCCTGAAATGTACAATGTAGAGCTTTTCTGATATTATTTCCAATATTATCAAGTAAGATAGTAATGCACACTCCTATTTTCCAAATATTTATATTCACACCCTCATGCAGATGAGACCCATATAGAAGACGAATTTCTACAGGAATCATTCAGACACTGTATTACACCAGTTGCAAAGGTTAGTGTTGGCATGTAATGCAACAACTTCTCTAAACAATGCGGACTAGCACCTCATGCAGCAGCTTGTTGGATACAGCAGCAGCCTTCTCAGCTATTAAGCAGGCTACTGGTGGTAACTTTAAGCGTATAACTACAGGACATTCCTCTCAGTATGAAAATGATGACCAGAGGCAGGCAGAATTTAGAATCATCAGTACTGCAAACAATCTAAGATAAAAAGAATCAAGTAACTGCACACTCAAAATACACCATATGGAAACAGAGGGACTATTTTTAAGTAAAATTACTGAATAAGTCAGGTTAGTCTCTAATCCAGTAAAGCTGACATACAAGTACACATAGTTCTAATAAAAGGTCTTATATTAATACCACAGTATTTTGTGAATTTCAGGAAGGAAATATGGACAGTATATACGCACATACATATACAGACATAAATATTTAAGTTCAGTAAATGAGACAGAGTTCCAGCATGTAGCAAGCATTAAAATATTTACAAAAGTGACATTAATTATTTCCTTTTGGGGTTTTTTTTTCAGTAAAGAAGAACAATTACAAGAAAAATTACAGAGTTTTTCCTCTGTTCTTCGTATGTACTAATTCTTAAATAAGGCAAGTAAACTAAATTACTGTACAGTGTTTGATTGCAGGGTGACAACTGTATTTCAGGTGTATAATTGAAACTCTTTGTACCAGTCGATCTGTGTTTAACCAACAACAAACTGGAGTAGAGTGAGCAGGCAGTGGGGTTAGAAGAACTGAGGAGAAAGACTGTTTGCACTACATTCTCCTGGTTTAATTTTCTTTGAATTCCGTATTGTATTATATTTACTTGCTATTTGTGTTTAATTGTTCAGGACTGTATTTTAGTATTTGTATTTGGGTTTAGTTCACTTTTTAAATTATATTTTAGTTAGTACCCTGCAAATCATACACATGAAAATATAGCTGTGTAAGGGGAGGGGCGGCAAAAGAAAAAGGTATCTGTGGCAATGCCTTGTTTCCTAAATTTCCTACTCCCAGGCATTTCTCTCTTTCCATTGATATAGAAAGTAAATCTCACTTAGACTTTCATGAAGCAAGATCAAAGCACAAACCTAATTTCACAGTGATGCTACTGCTGTTTGGCTCAAGACACAGCTGTATCATTCAGTTCTTATTACTGCAGTCATTTCAATATCTATTTTATTGTAAACTTAAAGCAAAAAGTAAAAGCCTGAAGTAATAATTAGTTAAGCCTTAAAGTAAGTTCCCCCATGAATATAACTTTTCATGTCTAGGCGTTAATGGTACTTAGTTCTCTCTAAGCAAGCTCTCTCTGTCTTACTTTAAATGGTACCAGGCTTATCTGAATGACTGAGGTGACCCTTAGGAACATCAGCCATGCTTCCAGAAAGGTGCCAAAATGGTGCTACTTACTGTAAGTGCAAAACTTGGAAACCTCTGCATTGTCTTGACTGTTTGACAGTCAGTGCTATGAAGACAGTAGGAACTGGAACATACACCAAAAAGACAATTGCATTTCTGATACTGAAAAGGATACATCTAATTCACTCTGCAAGGAAAGGAGATAGACAACCATTAGTTACAGTTTGATCTCTTATCTCATAGTCATTAAACATTACACATACCTTTAGAGGATAAAGAAAGTCTTCAAAATAATGATACAAAATTTTAGGGCGATTCAGATTTCTGGTCTGGACTGTACAATTACATACTCTTTTCTGCAAAGCTGCTTTGCCTTTGTGTTACCTGCCTCCATAATAAAAGCTAATGTTCTGAATTTTTTACTTAGAAAAACCCACTGAGGTCACCCACAAGTAACAATTTGAATATACACAGTGCCATCTGAATGAGTGGGTGGAAACCCAGCATCTCTAATCATGGCAACTCCAGCCCTATATTCTGTCTTCCTCCTCCTGCAAAAACAGGATGTTAATGCCAAGTTTACAATTTATGTAAAATCACAGTTAAAAATGTTGCTGCAGATCATTTCAACAGCAAAATCTAGACATTGTATATACCCATGGCTGTGGTAGCCATGGCTGGATATATTAGGAGAGGGGAGGCAACGCCAAGCTTTGGACCCAGCAACACAATTCTTCACATAGTCATCATTTCCCTTCTAGTCTTAGCTTGGATCTACCCCAAGTAGTTTTATTCATTTAACCAAAATATCTGAGCTAGAAGCCCTTGTGGTCTCTCTGCAGTCAACAGAAGAGATGGCATCTTCAACAGTTGACTCAGCACACTTGAGGCGTGACTCACTTTCTCCAGATACTCACCGGTCTCTACTGCCAGTAATGGGAGCTTAGGATGACCAAACTTCTAACTTAGGTGCCTCAGTTAAATGTCTAAATTTAGAAAAAATTAATCACAGCCTCAGCAGTTAAGATCTTGCACAGGTGGAGCAGAGCCTCCCCAGCCTCTGCTGAAAGAGGGAATATTTATCTGCTACCAAGGGAATTTAGTTTGCTAAGATGGTTTCCATTCACAGTTTAACCCTGGAGTTTTAGGCAGAGTTTTCACTGGTAAAATTGCTGCTACTTCCATGGTCCAAAGATGCTCTAAACTGGACTAGTTGTAGTCTACAGGTCTCTGCTGAGTAACTCTGCCATTCTTCAATTAGAAATTTTTTATGCACCACAAAAATTGTATTTTAAGAGCCTGATCAACTTAAGTTTCCATAGCATTAAAAAGTAGTTGAAAACATTGGAATATTTATTCTGAGCAGTATGCCGAGTTTTCCGTGAGTAACCGTATAAAAGTGAAGGGAACTCAGAATTACATCTCACAAGCAACTTTGAAAACTTTTCCCCTAATTTTGTTAATGTTTGTTCTGATATCTGAATTCAAGCTCTATAAACTCCATATGATAAAAATAGAGTATGTGAGAATGTTTAAAGCTCACAAGCCTAAAAATAATAGATGACAAAGTGTCCCTCTAGAGCAGGACAGATGTTCTTTCCTTTCCCAGAGTTCTGTCTCCGTTGTCATCATCATAATTTGGGATTCTGCTAAAATTCTGCAAATCCTGAACATTAATCCATAATAGTACAGACTTGTATTTTCTTGCTCTGTGGTTTCTGCCAGAAACCCCAGCTAGAATTATAGCCCTCTTCTTCTGTGCTCTGCCATTTATGGTGTTACATGCTATTAAAAATAGAACCATGGAATGGCATGAGATTTCTTTAACCACCCCCCTTTTCGGTTCCCCTATTTCAAACCTGAAATGCTATGGAAAATACAAAAAACTCTGGTATGATGAATTCAGCAAATTTCTAAGAACAATCAGTGGTTGGGTTATATACGTGGTCAAGGAATTACATGTACTACATTCATAGATACAAGAACTACATCTATTTTTGCGCTGCCTCAAGTAAAGAAAATAAAACTTGAGAAGTGGTCGGCAACTATTAGCTCAATTAGATAACTAAGATGTGACTAAATTTTTATTGTGCATTTCTGCACTGCCAGGATCAAATTCCATTACTGGTTATCACCGCTTATGTTGGGACTGCAATCATAATTCTGAACTTAGTACAGTCAGAAAGTGACACACGTAGTTCCAGCAGTTTCAACAGGCTGGTGCAACATTAGTTGAGATAATAGCCTAAAACATATTCCAGGCATCTAAGTAGTAAAGGGTGCAGATAACTTTTTCAAGCATGTCCTTGAATTCCCAGAGGGAACTCTGCCACATCTGCTGTGGTACTAGGACTGAGTACTCATCTCTTGTATGTATAATCACCAACGTAATAGCTCAAGTGCCTGCACTACAGAGGAAACTCTATCCAGTCCTCTTTTCTGAGAGGGATATACAACATGTTCCAGCATAGATAAGCTGAAATTGTGCCAAAGTATGATTTCGGGCAAACTGGTTTATAACAAGATTATTACAAACCCAATATTAAATAGCACATGTTCTAACCAGGATTATAATGCTGCATTTTCAAACTTTGAAAAAAAAAAACCAAAAAAAACACCCAACCAAAAAAATCTCCCACCAAAAGGAGCACTGCCATTTTAACTGGAGCCATGTCTGATGTTGAATCCTTAATGAAATGACTATCTGTATAATATGTGTTTTATCAGATATCTGCTGTTGCATGACAACAATATGGGGAGCACAAGTACAGACTGGTTTTTGAGGTTTCATTTGTTCCATCCCTCTGATCTTGTTCAGTAAGAGTGATGTCAGCTCCCTGCTTAATGCTTACACCATCTTTATCATGAATGAAGTTCATTTGGGGGGTGTAATGCAAAAAAAGAACTATAAAGAAAAACCTCTCTATTTCTGTAAAATGTATAAAATGCCAGTGGCTAATTTAAGAGTGGATGACCCAAAGAAACCCCTGAGTATAAGCATATAAAAGCAAATTTTCTAACAACTATTTCTGGTATTCCTTGTCTGATGATTTATAACCCACATATATTTCTCTGAAAAATCAACTAATTCTGCCTTTATTTCCTTTTTTTTTTTTTTTACAGTGGTAATATTCATGGTTAAGTATTCAAAATTCTGAATGAATATGAAAAAAAAAAAATTCTCCTTTGATTTATTCCCTGAAATGACATAGTCACTAAAGCTTTGAAAGAGAAGAAATATTTCATAATAGATACAATGTCTCACTCACCACTCGGCTGAAGTATTTGTCCAAAACTTCCACAAAATTATGAATTAGTTCATATACTGCCATCTCATTCTGAAATTAAATTAAAAGGCAAGTGAATATTAAATGAATAGTTAGAAAATGTAATAGTATTCTCTGTGTTATTTCAGTTTGTAGTATATGAAAAGCAACTGGAAAATAAGACCTACAATGAAGCGCACAAGCTGAGGCCACCACAGTGAGATGAGGTGTGGTTACCCTGCAGAGGGAGGGAGAGCAGGGGAGCGCTCGGGGACAGAAGCTTCAGGCGAGCCACGCAGGCGAGCACTGCGCTACCCGATGCAGTTGTCTCCCCTCCGCTGCTGCCACCCCACTGCACCCTTTGGTCCACCATCGCCCAGGTTAGCTAGATAGATACAGCTGACTACCTGTGCTGAAGTCACAGAGGCCAGCTGCAGCACAGAGCCAGGCTATGCTGCAGTAGTATAGATGGGCCATTTTTTGGTCCGTGTAGCAAAGCCAAAAGGATTTGCGCCAAATTGCACGCTATTAGAAGCCTGACTTGAAGACACTGGTAGTCAGCAGCTACCTTCCACACCACCCAATTAAAGTCTCCAAGAGTAAGCTTTGAAATGATTTCTGAGAACTTGGAATCAATGTAAACACTAAAGCTTTACAGCCTGAATAGATGAAGTAACAGTACTTGTCAATTTTCACCCAGATACTTCCCCCCACCACCACCTTTTTTTAAAATACAATACAGTGGCATCATTCTTGCTGACAGTATGGAAATTTTTTATTTGGCCAAGGAGGTTAAAAACAGTGAGCAGCTGGAAAGTCACCGCAGATCAGCTGATCTGGCTGTAATGCTAACAATTGTTGAGAAACCTCACCCTATATAAATTTGTTTAATCAAACATAAATTTAGAAAGCAGAATCAGTATAAGGCTCATGAAGACTACCTCATGGTAACAGTTCAGTCTACTGCTATAGAATGAAGTCAAACATACATTTTCTTTTATAAGTCTTTTTATTTCACTCTCATTTCAAGAGCGTACATAATTTCTTACCTCTGTCTCGTTGATTCCAACGACTACGAAAAGGGCTGCATACTGTCGGTATACCAGCTTAAAGTCCTTATATTCAATGAAAGAGCACTAGGCAGAAGCAAAATGAGTCAAACACAGTAGCTGCCATTTAAGCATATGACAGTATTAAGCACAGAGTGCTCAAAGAGCCTATGCTTTCATGTTGGTAAGGCCCACAAAGAACAATGGATTTCCCAAGATACGCTAAAGAATTTTGACTTGAAAGAAATTTAGTGGGATAACTGTTAGACAAAACTTTTCATCTACTGGCAGAAAACTTGCTATCGCTTTTTAAATTAGAAAAATTGAAACATACAGAACTGAAGTAATTTGTTCAGGTTTATAAGACAGTCAGTACTTCCCCTAAATTTTCAACTGGAAGCACTTCCAAAAGAGATGCCCTCAAGTTCATTTTCATATTTAAAAAATTATTTATATTTTAATATAAAAATGAAGAGTATTAGACTTCCAGACCTGAGGAGGGGGGAATTCACATCCTTCCCGGTAAGACAAGAGCCAGCAGATGGTGCTGTTAGACACTGCTTTACAAAATGCCTCCCTCGTTTTTAAAGTATCATTTTGCTCAGTCCTTGTAATGGCAGAAAACCGTTAGTTCTTTTGGTGAAGTTTCTGTTTGGAGATGCTCTTGCAAGCAGTATGGAGGAGGTTAATTTCTTTAGTCACTGTCAATTCTGTAAACTGAGGTACTTTATAGAAATTGTTATTTTTTCTGAGGTTTTTCCAGCATGAAATATGTGAGGACCACTCTTCAAGGACACACGTAATTAATGAAAAATAAAGCAGCTGGCTTCAGAACACAAACAAAAAAAACCCCACACAGCCCAAGTCACAGATTTCTCCTTCAATGCAAATTAATGTTTGCTAAGTACCAAATTTGCTAAGTTTGGTACTTTTCTTAAAGAACCAAGGGGTCAATTAAGTGAGTCATGAAAATCTCAACTTTCATCTAAGAAAACTTCCAACTTCCAACTTTTCTGACTGTGGTGGATTGACCTTTATATGATTGTGTTGGGTTGACCCTGGCTTGCACACGAGCCCCCAAAAAAGCCACTCTATCACTCCCCTCCTTGGCAGGGCAGGGAGGGGAGAAAAATAAGATGGAAAAAAACCCCTTGTGGGTCAAGATAAAGGCAGTTTAATAAAACAGAAGCAAAAGGCTGTGCATGGAAGCAAAGGAAAAAAAAACAAAAGATTTATCCTGTACTTCCCATCAGCAGGCAATGTCTGGCCACTTCCTGGGAAGCAGGGCTTCAGTATGCGTACCGGTTGAGCCGGAAGACAAATGTCGTAAATAACAAATGCCCCCCCCCTCCTCCCCCTATTCTCTCAGCTTTTTATTGCTGAGACATCATACAGTATGGAATATCCCTTTGGTCAGTTGGGGTCAGCTGTCCTGGCTGTGTCCCCTCTCAAGATCTGCCCACCCCCAGCCTATTGATGATGAGGGAATGTTGGCCAGAGGCTCTCAGTGCTCTGCCAGCACGGCTCAGCAGGAGCCAAAACCCTGGTGTGTTACCAGCACCTTGCTCACTACCGGTACACAGTACAGCACTGTGGGGGATGCTGTGGGGAAAAATAACTCCATCTCAGCCAGACCAAATACACTGACTTTCTTGCAGAAAGTGTGATCACTTTTTTTAAATCCAAATGCCTAATACAGAGGCCTAAAAATTTGTGTTTCAAAAAACACCTGTGTTTTAGGTAGTAATTTCATGATTTGGAATTCTTTCTCATAAGTTGTTTTGTTTAAACTTGGAGCTGTCAGTACTATCCCTACCACCTTCTGGCAAAGCATGAGTAGTATCTCTCTCTCGATCTCTACCAAACAAGCAATTAACAGGATAAAAGAAATTCTTCCTGGACTTCTGACCGTCTTCAAATAAACAGGAGGAATCTTCATGACAGCAATACACAAAATTCCAAAATCTCTGTAAGCCTCAGAAAATCATATTTATTCAAGGCAGAATAACACTTCAACTGACTGAACCCATAATCTAGAAACGCAATCTTTTACTTCATGAGTACAAATGAAATAATGACCTGCAATAGAAACTGATGTGCCTTCAGAATTATTGACATGAAAGATGTGAGATGTTGATAAAATAAAATGGCTAGGGGAAAAACTACAAAACTTACCTGATCCTTTGAACGGGAGAGACAGTTTTTGATTACTTCAGCTTCCAAGATTGTCCGTTTATTAATGTCTACATGCTCATAATACCTAGAGAGCCTCGTTTGACCTTGTTTGTTTACCATAAGAAAAAATTTTATCATTTTTGTTGTTGATCTCAGCAGTAGATTTGAATACAGGGTGCAGGAATCAAGAAGAGTATTTCTGTGAGGAGAAAAAAAAAAAGAAAAGAGTATATGCAGGAGTTATAAAAGACTTCCTAAAAGCTAGCCAGTCCAGATCCACATATATTTAAGACTGAGTTTATTGCCAAAACATAGAATATAGGAAAAATATCTCTAATCTTTTGCACGCATCCCATGAGTAAAACTCCATTTTTCCCCACACAAATAATCACAAACTGTCTAATAAATAATCACTTTCACATTATTCTCCCGTCTAATTTCCCACACTGACACAAAAGGTGAATTCTGCACTTAATGAAAACTAAGTGTGGGGTTTTGATAGCTAAGGAGAAATTTGTTCATGTTAATTACTCAAAACAGCTTAATCTCAATCTAAGTAAATATTAATCCACACAATGCCACTGAAATATAGTTGTAGAATATAAATATGCTACATGTAATGTACAATGAAAAAAAGCTATTAGAGCACAGCATATATCAGAATCTGCTTGCTAAACAACTGAATTCATGTTTTGAAAAGTATGCAAAAAAAAAAAAGGTAAGCTGCAGATATAATTTTTTGAAACAGAAGTTCTGGGTTATTTTCTTTAATGCGAGAAAACAGTCACTGTAATGTTTTCCATCTGACTCTCTATTTGGATCACAGATTTATTGGCCCAAATGCTCTTGAGGTTTATGCACTGGAAATACAGCAACTACCGCAAAAGCTATTTCTTTATTCCAGTTCTGAAGAGTTGCTCTTTGCCTGGTACAAACATTCCCTCCTAAGGTCTCTCAGCTCCTGTGAGAAAGTCCGAGCTGAAAAAAACATCGGAATCCACAGTGTAGCTCTTTGTGTAAAACCAGTGTATCTTAATGCAGAAAAGCAAAAGGGGAAAAAAACTCAACAACCAACATAGGTCTCTAAGGCAGCAACCTCACAGACATTTAAACGTATGCTGATTTTTTATAACAAGGCAAGCTGCATAGGTGCTGCCTCGTATTATTAGCAACTTGAATAAACTGGCTATATACCATTGATGGGTGATAATATCTAAATCTTTCATGACAGTAATACAAAAAATCCCAATATATTGTGCTGACTTCTGATTCATATTGGTCACCTAAATATGTTTTGCAAGAAAAGCCTCCTCTATTATCATCACTTGGATCTCAAGAAAGAGATCCCGTTTTCCTCAGTGTACTGTGGTTTACTCCATATACAAAGAAGTTTAGATTTCTATACCAAATGTCTCTTCACTAATTAGACTTGATACCGAGAATTCATTTCTTAACTGACACCTCCAGGGAATAGGAGTCCGGAATCAATCCTCAGGACAAGAGAATCTGTTTGGAATCGTGACAGTCTCAGAGCTTTCTCACCTCCACCAGGCTCAGTGAAGTCTCTTCACGTCCAGAACAGCAGCGCACTTTTGTTGATTCGCTCTGACTGAAGATTCACGGATGCTGGTCAGTGCTGCTGCAGTGGTGCACGCAGCTCGTTCCCTTGCACCTCAGGCTTCTGAGGCATAAAGAAAGGTAAAACAGTGAGAAGACATTTTTTGATACAAACCTTCCAAGAAGCAAGGGTACAAATGAACGACTCCTTCCAGCTCAGAATGAGGCACTCTAGTAAGGGCCAACCTCATAAGCAGAAGAAACCCGAAGCTTTAAAGCTACTTAACAACTAAGAAATGCTGCCCATTGTTTTAATGAAAAAAATAGCAAGCTCAGACACAGACCAAAAGCTATGCACGTTGTTCCTACCAACTGCAAAACATGTCTGTCCAAGCTAGACAGATAATGACAGCCACACAGACAGCTTTTTTCTTCCTAGTTTTAAGCTTCATCTTTGTGTTTGGTACTGCTGAAACATGAATAGTCCTCTGCTTTGAACAAGTTGTTTCCAAGCTATTTTAATAATTTAGGCATAAATAATACTGAGGAGTGTAAATCCTGTTCTCAGAAATGAGCAAGTTGCACAAATCCATCCCAGAAGAGTAAAAAACTGAGGCTTAACATGTCTGCAGATACTCAAGTGGGACCTGTGAACGGGAGGACAGTAAAACTACCCCAGGAGCACTGACAGAGCTGTTGTACTTTGAGTTACTGTTAAGCAATATAAACCAGAAAAAAATATATGAAGAATTAATACGTATGGATCCTATTGCAGGATTGGCCCCTAATCCTAATTATTCCTTTATTAAGCTAATCTTTCTACATGGTTAATCCCTTTCTGATGTTATGACTATTGTATCTGTGTGTATTCGTATGAATGGCCTGGATTGTTTTACGTATGAAAATACTTTAGACCAGATTATTTTTTTTAAATCCTCACAAAGGCTCTTACCCAGAATAGATATAAAAAAATGAATCACGTCGTAACAGAGATAGAACCATAGTACTCAAATGTGTTATCTGTAATTTATGAGACAATAATTATTCACAGTATTAGAACTAGTATTGCTAATCATTTCTGTATTTTCCTACCAGCCCCAAAGATAGCTTCCAAAATTTTAGCCAGAAATTTTGGTCATGTAAATGGCAGCACAAATGCACAGATTTGTGCAGAAACACAGGAATAAATTTACATGTACAAATAATTTTTAAAAAATTTACAAAAAGCATGCAAGCATAGCTGTGGAATCTGACTTTCAGAATAACACCAGTTATAATAAATATCTTAAGAGGTTTTTAATTCCTTTTAAAATAATTCTGAGAAATATCACTTGTAGAAATAAAAACATTTGCTTGCACAATTTAGGTAAAAAAAGGAAATGACTGAGTTTTGTTTCTAACGAAGTTTATTTCTTCTCCTTTCATCTTGGCTTTCAGATACAGACAACATGTTAAAATTAGTTTTGCATATATAAGATGTAAAGAAATCTGTGAAGTATAATAAACAAAAAGCATATCTGTGCATGCTGATGGGTGGAGAAACTCCCATTCCTTCATCAAGTTCTATGTGTTTGAGGAACTACCTTTTATGATCAATAATCAGTACTCTACTAATGAAGATAGCTCCACTTCTGATACAACTCTTACGTGCTTTTCTGTGCATTCTCACGCACATGCCTGCGTGTAATCATGCACATACACAGAAATCATGATGCTTTTATGCATACAAAATCAAATTGTTCAAGGGAATTGGTGAGAAGATGCAAGCCCTTCATATCTCTGCCATTATTTTGTTCATTTTAGTAATGACAAGACATTACTATCTGAAGGCTGCTTGTCAGAAATGAATAGGCTGTCTCATTCCAGGTCACTGGACAACTATTCGCATCACAAATGGGCTTAGGAATGGAAGACTGGAAGGGACTATCCAGATCTTGATGGACTGTCAAGTCCAGCTCTCCCTATCACAGTCAACTACGCATTAGAATTTTTGTCCAGAATAGCCTATGGTTTATGCTTCATGCATACCCAATCTACAAAACACCTACAAAACTCTATGACAGAATGAAGACTCCCTAGAAACAAAAAACCTCAGAAGGTATGACTTGAGGAAGATGCAAAAAGTCTTGAACTTGCAAACTTTCCTTCAAAAGAAATTACCTCCCAGAGTGACTAAGTAGCACTCATTTCCTTTACAAAATATTTCTGCTGTAAGGGTAATTTGGCATGCACACAAAAGACATAAACTTTAACTACTGTGATTTAAATATGTGCTGCTACACTGTGTTAGATCTCACCCTCATTAAAGTATCTCTCGTAGATAAACATCTATGAGAGAAAACTAGTATCACGATTTGCTTGTGTGACTCACACTGGTAGACTGATGGAGTATGTAGTTGTTGATGACTTACAATACGATGGCTTTAACTCCTTCTAAACCAGCACATATGCAGCAGACTATGGACCCAGGCTCATGAAAAGAGATGCTTCTTGATTTTAGTGCCCCCAAGCATGCTCACGCCCCCCCACCCCCCCGCCTGTACAGGTAACTCCAGTCTTGTATTTCAAGACAAACTAAAACCTGCCTGGTTTGCTTCAAAATGCTGAAACAGAAACCACGATGGTTCAGGAACTGCTACCAGGACATGTCAGCTCTGTAGGCTGCATAACCACATAGAGACACCTCAAAATAAGTTGTCCCTGTTTATGAGTCACACCCCTAAATGCTGTCTTTTGAGATACTGGTTGAGTCCTCTTAGAGAGGCAAAGCCTGCAATACCTGTTCTGCGGATAAAAAGGTCTTAAGTCTCCAGCATGGCCAACCCAGCTGATTCTACGTGCAGTAATATAAAACATATTTTAAACAAAATTTTAATTATTCCTCCAGTAGACACAAGCACTCAACATTAATTTATTTTGTCAAAGATTTCACCAATATTTATACATACTCTGACATGTAAATTATAGAAAAAAAACCAAAACCTGAGTTTGAGACTTCTGGCCGTACAGTTATCATTCAAATCAGATGCATCTCACACTAAACCCACTCTAGTCAATGTCCACAGATCTAGACTTTTTTTTTTTATTGTGCTATAGCAAAGTTTTGAAACACTCTATGGCTCTCAGCTACAATGTAAATAAGAGATCAAATAGCAAACAAGAAATGCATGACTACATTTTTACACAACAGCTTCACCAAGAATTAAAAATAAATGTTAGATGGAGCTATAAGCCAATAATTTCCTGCACCATCCAACTCTAAACAAATTGGTTTTCTGGATGCAGAGGTCTGATTAGACTTTATGTGTGTACTAAATGTAGAACAAAATTGGTTAAACTGGAATTAAAGTATTAATGAAAAGAAAAAAATTACTAAATGGTAGAGGCACAAGCAGGTGACAGCAGCAGAACAAATATTTTTGAGGTACATATTAGGCTATTGAGCCTCCTTGTTATGAATTTATTGCACAGAAGTATGTAGCAAATGAAGACCACTCACATAATTGATACCCTTGCTCTTCCTATTTTTGTTTGGACCATGGACAAGGGTTTAGTAAAAATAACATGCAGTATTAATAATA